AACACACACACACACACACACACACACACAGACCAAACTGCACACCATTTTACAACTTTGTGCCTATAAACCTACACACACACACTGACCAAGCAGCGCATGTCATTACACAACTTTGTGTCCCTGTAAACCACATAAACCTACACACACACACAGACTATACAGCGCATGTCAATATACAAATTTGTGACCCTGTAAACCACATAGACCTGCACACACACACACACACACACACACACACACACACACACACACACACACACACACACACACACACACACACACACACACACACACACACACACTAACCAAACAATGCATGTCATTACACAACTTTTTGTCAATGTAAATCATACACCTGCATACACACACACACACTCTCTCTCTCTCTCTTTCACTCTCTCTCTGACCATTTTATTTCTCCCAGCAAATGAATCATCCACACAAACAAGATGTTTCTCACACACACACATAGTTGTTTCAAACACAGCGCCAAAGGAGAGGAGCAGAAAGGTTTGCGCTCGACTGAATTCCTGAAATCAATCGCCGCTCTGAATGAACACGGGCGGCCGATGAGCGATAAGGTCACCATGGAAACGGTCTCAGCGCAGCATCTTCAGACGTGCGCCAGTGTTAACCTCTTAAGTGGCAACGGCACGCCTGGCATCAAAACACACACGCACACGTCAACTCCTCACAAACAAACACACACACACATTGAAACAGTGCTGAAGCGTGGGAAACGTGAGCAGGTTAATGCAAAATAAACAGATTTTTAAACTATATCATTTTCCTTCAGCTTAGTCTCTTTATTCATCAGGGGTCGCCACAGCGGAATGAGCCACCAACTAATCCAGCATATGTTTTACATAAAGGATGTCCTACCAGCCACAACCCAGCACTGGGAAACACCCATACACTCATTTACACACACACACACACACACACACACACTATACAGCCATTTTTGCTGATCAATTCCCCTATAGCGCATGTGTTTGGACTGTGGGGGAAACCGGAGCACCCGGAGGAAACCCACGCCAACATGGGGAGAACATGCAAACTCCACACAGAAATCCCAACTGACCCAACCAGGACTCGAACCAGAAACCTTCTTGCTGTAAAAGGACAGTGATAACCACTGAGTTAATGTGGGTTAAAGGAGTTTGTGCTGTGCCAATGGGTTAACGGCTCCAGTTTTGAGGCTAATCAAGGCCTGAATTGCTTCACCTGCATTAATGGGGCAGACGGAAAGAGACGAGCTGTTGATCTGATCAATAATTGATTGTTTCTCCAGACCTGTAATCTCTCGGTCTGCTGACTTCATTTTTAATGAGCAGAATCGCCGTGACCTTGAAGCAAACCAACCCCCAGATTAACATTCAACACACAGATTTACTCCTAACCTGCTCAGTTCAGCACTGTTTCAATGTGTATGTGTGTGTGTTTTGATGCCAGGCGTGCCGATGCCACTTATCAATGGTGCACGTCTGAAGATACTTGTACACACACACACACACACATGCAGGACATGTGATTTACAGGGACAAATATTAACATTCAACACACAGCTTTACTCTTAACCTGTTCACAGTTCAGCACTTTTTTAATGTGTGTTTGTTGACGTGTGTGTGTGTGTGTTTCCATACCAGGTTGTGCCGTTGCCACTAAAGAGGTCTGAGGATGCTGAGTGTGTGTGTAGGTATATGTGATTTACAGTGACCAAGATTAACATTTAACACTTAGCTTTAATCTTAACCTGCTCATATCTCACACCGTTCAGCACTGTTTTAATGAGTGTGTTTGTTTATGTGTGTGTGTGTGTGTGTGTGTGTGTGTGTGTGTTGATGCCAGGCGTGCCGTTGCCAATTAACAATGGTGCACGTCTGAAGATGCTGCATGTGTGTGTGTACAGGTACATGTGGTTTACAGGGACAAAGATTAACATTCAACACACAGCTTTACTCTTAACCTGTTCACAGTTCAGCACTGTTTCAATGAGTGTGTGTGTGTGTTAATGCCAGGCGTGCTGTTGCCACTTAAGAGGTTAAACTCTGGCGCTCGTCTGAAGATGCTGCATGTGTGTGTGTGTGTGTGTGTGTGTGTGTGTGTGTGCTGCTATATGTGGTTCATGGGGACAAAGATTAATACACGTAACTTTACTCTTAACCTGCTCAACATTTCACACAGTTCAGCAGTGTTTCAGTGAGTGTGTTTGTTAGCATGTGTGTGTTTTGACTTAACCAATTTACCCAATTAAGAGGTTAAAATTTAATTCAGCGTTTGAAATTCCTTTAGAATATATTTATATTCATTCATAAGACATTCCTGATCTGATCCTATACAACAGTGGATCTCAAAGTAGGGGTCGGGACCCTCTAAGGGGTCGCAGGACAATGAAGGGGAGGGGGAGGGGGGGGGGGTCGCTTGGTGATTTCCAAAAATCTATTTATTTTTATTAAACCCTAAGAATTACCATATTTTATCCATAACCTACTGAAGAGAAAAATACATATATAGTTAGCAGCTTATAGTTACTAGTTCTATTGGACTGCGACCCCCTGGGGTAATTACATTATATTAAAGACACAGCAATATTTTAATTTAATATTTTGATTTTATAACACCAGGTTAAACTTTCTCTCTTAATTACAGCACTGACATACATAAAAATTAAACAAAGAATAGACTTGGGTGTGGGTGTGTGCACACCATTGCATGCAAGGTTTCTGCATTTATAACCAGTCCAGAGGATATTGGGGGTCTCGGGTCACTGGCACTGTCATTTTTTGGGTCACGGGCTGAAGAGTTTGGGAACCATTGATATACAACATGGTTTTAATAACAATATTTAAACTCTGACTTCTTTAACAAAGATCTGGTACCAATAGAGCTGTAATATTGAAATAGTAAACTGAGTTTGTACACATAATGAGGGTTAAATAAATCAAACTTCCAAAAACACTGCTTTAAAACTCTATAATATGAATATCAATGCTATATTTTGTTCTATTTCTGTCATAATAACCTTATTAAATATGTTGTTTCTTTAAATAAATCACTTTTTCCCAATAAAACGCCTGACAATAAGCATAATAATGCATTGCTGAGGATTTCACAGTAAATCAGACACTAGTGGAAGCATATTTGCATGTCATTGTCCTGCATTTAATCACAGCAAAATAAGACATTGCTCAGAAACCAAAGCCACAAAGGAAATAAAAAGGGCTTTAAACATTAATCTGTCTGATGTCTGCAGCATATCTCAATTCGCCTGCAACAGTCTCAATAATTTATCTTTTTTTCTTTTCTAGCCTCCTTTTTCAAACCCTTGTTTAATTAAGATGATTTCAAATGGCGACAATAAGGCAAAAGAAGCTCCATTGTAGTTGTGGTTTGTGTCACATAAGTGTGGGAGGGCTGAGATTCCACTCTCTACAAAAAAGCAGGCCAAATTTAACCAAAATGCCTGCACTACTTCATTTATTCAAGCATTTATCTCAGATGTGCGACATTTACTAGTTTAACTTTCATCTAAAGCATCTTAAACAAGAAACACATGCAGAAACACCTGTCATACAGCTCTCGTTCACATGCACACTTTCAATGCTTGCAGAAATGTTCTGTGATGTGCATGCAAAGTCTGCTGCATTCATTTCATGACGGTACGTACATGATTATGCATGCACAAAACATCACTTTCAGATATGCACATGTAAAAAATGCTGGGTTAATATTGACCAACCTACATTAATATAAGCTTAAAGTAATATTTCACTTAAAATTAAGGTACGCTTTTTAACCCAACTGTTGGATGTGTCCATATTTGACCTAAACGTTGAGTTACAACAACCCAGAGTGGATGCACAAGGTCTGATGTCTTCAAATGACTTTATATTTAGGCCATTTATTTATGACCAGCATGCATTACAAGCATCTGCAAGGACTTAAAACAGGCTCAAGCATGCATATTGTCAGAAATTAAATGTGCAAAAATTTGTAATACAACACATATGGGTGTAGTATGAACCATTAAAGTGTTTCAAAGCATTCTTAAAGGCACAGTTCTCCCAATAATGAAAATGTACTCACTATTTACTCACTCTCAGGTGCTTGCAAAATGTATTCGTTTCTTTCTTTTGTTGAACACTAATGCATATATTTCAATGAAAGCTGCACACCTGTTGATTTCCATGACTAAAACCAATAGGTCAGTTGTCACGCAGCATTTCAGCTTTCCTCAAAATGTCTTGAGGAGAAAGAAAAGAAACTCAAACATGTTTGGAGCAAATGAAGGCTGAATAAATGATGGCAGAATTTAAACATTTATGTCGAACTATCACTTTAAGGTGCTACTAAAAAGTGATTGATTGGATTTACTAAATATGTTTAAGGTATGCAAAAAAAAATTTTATGGGCTGAATTTAAACCATTTAAATTAAATGTAGTAATGTTTAGCTTCATTTGTTGGTTTAAATTCTGCTCAAATAAACTGTTTGCAACCACTTACCCTAAACACATTTAGTAAATGTAATGAATGATTAGTTTTTCAGCTTTCCACATCTTTTGTATTCAACTAAAGAAATAAAATCAAACATGTCTGGAACAAGTGAAGGACGAATAAATGACAGATTTGTATTTATTTATTGGGCGAGCTGTCCATTTTGGTAGCTACACTGACAAATTCATTGGATTTACTAAATTATAAGTGGTTGCCATTTATATGGGCTGAATGTAAAATTAAGCTAAACATTACTACATTTAACTTAATTTAAATTCAGCCCATATAAACTGCGTGCAACCACTAACACACAAAAAAAGATTTAGTAAATCCAATCAATCATTTTTACAGTGTATATTCAAGTTAAAATGCACAAAGTATTCCCTTTAGTCCTAAAAAGTATCATGTTATCATTGTAAGCTCTACATTTTCGCACTGTAAGCGCGAGCGCGTAAAGGAGCCGTTTGGCGACTCCACACCGGCTGCGCGCAGCTCTTACCCGCGCGGCTCTGGAGGAGTACGGGTCGTCAAAAAGGTTCCAGATGACCGGCTGCCACCTCCTCCAGCGGCTCACGGTGCCGTCCGCGGACACCACGTCCTCAATGCCCAGCCGCTTCCCGTACTCGTCGTCCTCCTCGGTGTCCACGTTCATCTCAAACACGTCCAGCGCCTCCTCGGCATCGCGGTGCTGTCGGTAGGTCATCCAGCAGCACGGCTCCACGTCCGTCTCATCGATGCCCCAGAAGGAGAGCTCCTCCTCGAACAGCGGACCGCACACGTCCGCCGGGCAGTGCAGCTTCCCGGTCCGGTAATAGTTGAGCACGTAGGCGAAAACGCCCGGGTGCCGGTCGAAGAAGTACTCGTTGCTCCGCGCGCTGTACTCGATGAATCCAGGCACTTGTTGCAGCTGATCCAAAACCAACTCGAGATCGGACTCGGAGGCGAGCAGCGCCAGTCGCGTGCCCGGCAGTGTCTTTAGCGTGCTCCGGTAGGTCTCGTGCCTCGTGCCGCCGACGTTGAGGATTACCCTCTCGCGCTCGTCGAACTTGCCCATCTCTCAGGGTGAGACATGACGCGAGGGGGGCGACGGTGCTGTGAGTACTCCGATAGTTCGCCAACAAGCTCATTGAACAGGAGAATAACACACGCGCACGCTCTCGCCGGAGCGCGTCTGTTTGTCTGTCAGATGAGCGCGCGCCTCCGACCAGCCCTGAGCGCGCGGACAGGTGAAAGACGAGGCGCGGGAGCGGAGCTGCGCTCTACTGATACAGACTCACCTGCGGCTCCACAGCAACAAGCGCATCTCTCTCTCTCTACATCCCTCCATTGAATCTCTCTCTCTCTCTCTCTCTCTCTCTCTCTCTCTCTCTCTCTCTCTCTCTCTCTCTCTCTCTCTCTCTCTCTCTCTCTCTCTCTCTCTCTTGATTCAATTCAATAGAGTTTTGACTGTCAAATATAACACAATGTTGCCAAAGCAATAACAATAAGCATAGCCTACATGATACATCACATTGATAAAATATGATAAACGAATATGAATATTAAACATATCTAAAAGATGAATATAAAATGTCCACTTCTCTCCATACATCTCTTTTTCTCACATTATAAATATAGCTCTTTCTCTCTACATCTCTCCATTATTCTCTCCATTATTTCTCTCTCTCTCTCTCTCTCTCTCTCTCTCTCTCTACATTATACATATCTCTGTCAATTCGATTCATTCATTTTTTTTTCGGCTTAGTCCCTTTATTAATCAGAGGTCGCCACAGCGGAATGAACCGCCAACTTATCCAGCATATGTTGGATATACCAACTGACCCAGTCGGGGCTCGAATTAGCAACAATCGTGCCACCCACTGTGCCACAGTGACGCCCAATTCAATTCAATTCAATTCAATTCATTTCAATTCAATTCAAATCAAATCAAATCAAATTAAATCAAATCAAATCAAATCAATTCAATTCAATTCAATTCAATTCAATAACTGCTTTATTGGCCTGACAAATGGTACAAATGTATTGCCAAAGCATTTATAAAGTTTACATGAAAAAGAGCATACATATATATTATTAAACACAGTAAACACAATAGTAGTTGTAAAAACAATTAAATCAAAATATAAATTAAAAATATTAATAAATCAGAATTTTTTCATCAGCTGGGGTGCCGGAGAAAAACGTAAAATAACGGATATTAAATTACAGAAATTCATCAGAAATTTAAATTTAAGGAAATTTCTGTAATTTAATGTCCGTTATTTTACGGTATATTTCCGTAATTTAATGTCCGTTATTTTATGATATATTTCTGTAATTTAATATCCGTTATTTTACGGTATATTTCCGTAATTTAATGTGCGTTATTTTATGGTATATTTCTGTAATTTAATATCTGTTATTTTACGGTATATTTCCGTAATTTAATGTATGTTATTTTACAGTATATTTCCGTAATTTAATGTATGTTATTTTATGGTATATTTCTGTAATTTAATGTCCGTTATTTTATGGTATATTTCTGTAATTTAATATTCGTTATTTTATGATATATTTCTGTAATTTAATATCCGTTATTTTACGGTATATTTCCGTAATTTAATGTACGTTATTTTACGGTATATTTCCGTAATTTAATGTCCGTTATTTTATGGTATATTTCTGTAATTTAATGTCCGTTATTTTATGGTATATTTCTGTAATTTAATGTACGTTATTTTATGGTATATTTCTGTAATTTAATGTCCGTTATTTTATGGTATATTTCTGTAATTTAATGTCCGTTATTTTATGGTATATTTCTGTAATTTAATATTCGTTATTTTATGATATATTTCTGTAATTTAATATCCGTTATTTTACGGTATATTTCCGTAATTTAATGTACGTTATTTTACGGTATATTTCCGTAATTTAATGTCCGTTATTTTATGGTATATTTCTGTAATTTAATGTCCGTTATTTTATGGTATATTTCTGTAATTTAATGTACGTTATTTTATGGTATATTTCTGTAATTTAATGTCCGTTATTTTACGGTATATTTCTGTAATTTAATGTCCGTTATTTTATGGTATATTTCTGTAATTTAATGTCCGTTATTTTATGATATATTTCCGTAATTTAATGTACGTTATTTTATGGTATATTTCTGTAATTTAATGTACGTTATTTTATGGTATATTTCTGTAATTTAATGTCCGTTATTTTACGGTATATTTCTGTAATTTAATGTCCGTTATTTTATGGTATATTTCTGTAATTTAATGTCCGTTATTTTATGGTATATTTCTGTAATTTAATGTACGTTATTTTATGGTATATTTCTGTAATTTAATGTACGTTATTTTATGGTATATTTCTGTAATTTAATGTCCGTTATTTTACGGTATATTTCTGTAATTTAATGTCCGTTATTTTATGGTATATTTCTGTAATTTAATGTCCGTTATTTTATGGTATATTTCTGTAATTTAATGTCCGTTATTTTATGGTATATTTCTGTAATTTAATGTCCGTTATTTTATGGTATATTTCTGTAATTTAATGTCCGTTATTTTATGGTATATTTCTGTAATTTAATGTCCGTTATTTTATGGTATATTTCTGTAATTTAATGTCCATTATTTTATGGTATATTTCTGTAATTTAATGTATGTTATTTTACGGTATATTTCTGTAATTTAATGACCATTATTTTACGGTATATTTCTGTAATTTAATGTCCATTTTTTATGGTATATTTCTGTAATTTAATGTCCATTATTTTACGGTATATTTCTGTAATTTAATGTCCATTTTTTATGGTATATTTCCGTGATTTAATGTCCGTTATTTTATGGTATATTTCTGTAATTTAATGTCCGTTATTTTACGGTATATTTCTGTAATTTAATGTCTGTTATTTTACAGTAGATTTCTGTAATTTAATATCTGTTATTTTACGGCATATTTCTGTAATTTAATATCTGTTATTTTACGGTATATGTCTGTAATTTAATGGCCGCTTTTTTACAGGTTTTTTTCCGGCACCCCAGTATTTATTTAAGGAGCAATAATTTACAAAAAAAAAAAAAAAACTAGAGGAATATGAATGTCAGATATTAAATTTCATCGTTGTCCAAGCTAAATCAGCAATCTACTGTAAATTACTTGGGAAAAGTGGATAGCATGATCGCCTCACAGCAAGAAGGCTTCTGGTTCAAGTCCTGGCTGGTCAGTTGGCGTTTCTGTGTGGACTTTGCATGTTCTCCCTGTGTTGGCATTGGTTTCCTCCAGGTGCTCCCCACAGCGCTATAGGTGAACTAATGAGCTAAATTGTATGAGTGAGTGTGTGTGAATGAGAGCATATGGGTGTTTTCTAGTACAGGGTTGGGGCTGGAAGGGCATCCGCTGCATAAAACATATGCTGGAACATTTGGTGGTTCATCCCACTGTGGCGACCTCTGATAGATGAGGGACTAAGCTGAAGGATAAATGAATGTCATATGATGTTTGGGTCACAGCTCGAGATGCTCGGAGGAATCTGCAAATGTTTATATCAGGCTTTAATGAGATCATCTGCACCGCTGACAGACTTATTCCAATAAGATCCATGTAGTGAAATGTTTTCATCTATAATTAATCAGCTCATATTTTATGCATGCCCACCATTTTTGGCTAAACGGATTTGGACAGAATGAGGGGGACCGGGGGGGCTGGTTGGCCCATTATGCACTTACTTTCATCACGAACAAAGAATATCTGTAAATGAGCAGATTTCTTTATATTTTATTCATGTTTTCATTTATTTTTTCCCATTTATTTACACTTTTGAGCTGAATTATGAGATCTTGATCTTTCTTCCAAGAACTTTTAACCTTGAAAAGTGTGAAAAAGAGACGTTTATGAACATTTTTAATAGTGTAAAGTGCTATATTGTCTGTATTAGTGTTGTATATTACACTACAAAAACCTTATAATAAGCTGCCAGCACATCTTCTGCTATTTTACACACTTATATTATTATTTCTTATACATTAAATAATTGTAAACAACTAAAATGTCACTAAAAGTCACTTTGGTAAACTGTAGAGTTGAGTTTTCAGCATCAAAAGTGGACAGAACAGAAATCAACATCCCATAATGATCAACTGAGCGTTACTTTTTAATGTGTTACATTTTAAGATTGAACTCTTTTTTTTTTTTGTCAGCGACCCTTCAGTGCAGATCTAAACTAGCTCTGCGAGGTCTAAAATAAGCCCAGACAGTTGTGGGAGGATGAATTACATGACTAACCTACAGCTGAATCAAGGTCAGTTTTGGATATGTGAGCCCTGCGCCAAAACTCTGCTGCATCACTCGCCAAAACATGACGAGAGGAAAACCACTGCATGCGTCTCTGTGTTATTTAGCCAATCTCAGCACAATCTCTTTGCACAATCCCTTTATGTACACTATAACAGCCAACAATGTATACACTGTAAAAAAATACTTCGATTATTTAGCTGAATTAAATACAGTTGAACTTTCATCTCTCAAACTAACTAAAAATATGATGTTAAAGTTTGTATAACTTAAAAAATTACTTTATATTTATGCACATTATATTACTCATAAAACACTTTATGGTAAAAGTAATTAAGTTAAAGCAACACAATAACTAAGCAGTAACTTAACTCAATGTTTTTAAATAATTTTTACATTTAAAGTTCTTACTTTTAGGTCTTTTCTGTTCAGCAAACCTGCATTTATTTGATCCAAAGTACAGCAAAAACAGAGAAAATGTCAAATGTTTTTATTGTTTAAAACAATGGATTTATATTTGAATATAATTTCAATTTTAATTTATTACTGTGATATCAAAGCTGAATTTTTGGCATCATTAATCCAGTCATGATTCATCAACAATAATTTTTTTATTATTAATCAAACATGTATTATTATTTTTATTGATATTATTATTATTATCAATATTTTATTAAGTATAATTTGTATTATTATTATTATTATTATTATTATTGTTGTTGTTGTTGTTGTTGTTGTTATAGTTATCATCATTATAATTAGTATCAAATTTGTATTATCATTATAATGTTTTATTATTATCATCATCATCATCATCAAAATTTTATTATCATTATTATTAATAATAATATTGTTATTATTTTTATTATTATTGTTGTTGTTGTTATTATTATTATTATTATAATTATCATCATCATTAATATCAAATTTGTATTATCTTTATTAATAATAGCATTTTATTATTATTAATATCATCATCATCATTAGTATAATTTTTTATTATAATTATTAATAATAATATTTTTTTATCATCATCATTTTTATC